CCATCGCTAGCTACAACTTTTTCCCATCTTTCTGGCAGAGCTCGAATACCGTTACAGTAAAAGCGTTCGTTTTGTGAGGCTATCCACGAACCAAGCCATTTTTTGATGTCTTCATATGAGCGAAACTGCTGATCAGCCAGACCATATGCCATCGAACAGAAGAAGTAATAATCGGACGGCGCAATATCTGGGAAATATAGCGGGTGGGGTAGGACTTCCCATTTGAGCGTTTCCAAATAGGTTTTAACGGGTTTGGCAACATGAGGCTGAGCGTTGTCATGCAGTAGAATCACTTTTTCGTGCCTCTGCACGTATTGTGGCCGTTTTTCACGCAGTGCTCGGCTCAATCGCATCAATTGAATTCGATACCGTTCCCCAGTGATGGTTTCGTTCGGTTTCAACAGCTCATAATAAATAACACCGACCTAATCCCACCAAATACACAGCATAACCTTCGCAGCGTGAATATTCGGCCGAGCCGACGACGTAGAAGCATGACCGGGCAGTCCCCATGACTTTCTTTTCTTTGGGTTGCTGTAATGAATCCATTTTTCATCACCCGTCACGATGCGATAAAGAAAACCCTTCCTTTTTTGCCGCTGTAGCAGTTGTTCACAGGCAAAAAAAACGACGCTCAACGTCCCTTGGCTTCAAATCATAAGGAACCCAAGTTCCTTGTTTTTGAATCATTCCCAACGCATGCAATGGCTTGGCGGGTAACTCCTAATGCTGAAGCAAGCTGTTCTTGCGTTTGGCACGGATCCTCATCGAGCAATGCCTCCAATTCAGTGTCTTCGAAGGTTTTTGGCCTTCCTTCACGCGGACGGTCGTCAACATCGAAATCATCGTCTTTGAAGCGACGAAACCAATCACGGCACGTTGTTTCACTTAGAGCAACATCTCCGTAAATTTTTGAAGCTCTCGATGCGCTTCAGCCGCCATTTTCTTCGAATGAAATAAGAAAATCAACACTTCCCGCAAATGACTATTATTTGACACAAAATCAGATATTTTCACACAACCCAAAGTATATGACGCT